TTTTGCAAACTTAAAATTTGGAATATAAAAAAATTAATGTACCACACGATTGAGTGATCATTTTACCAATCAATTAAACTGCATGTAACACTATTTTTAAATTTTTAAGAAAAAACATTAAATGTAATATATAATGTCTACTGTTTTAAATCGTCTGGGAAAACATGAATTCTATTAACCTTGAAAGTTTGATTTATCTACAGTCAATATTTATACGTCTATAATATATGACTATGCTTATATTGCATTGTTTTTAAAAATATAATGATTAACACATTAATCTGTTTTATAAGGTGTATCTTTCTCTATTTTTAATTGAGTAATAATAACTAACAATATTGATCCCTCAAAAACACGATTTGGAATAGTTCCAATATTTCGAGGTTATCATTTGTTTTGTAAATTTTATTTTTATTTCACGCGTGTCTTTAACAATCCATAATCGAGTAGATTTTTTTTTTCGTGGTGAAAAATTCGAATATGGTTGTCAATAATATACACCTACAATATAAAATATTAAAAAAAAGTTGGAAAACGTACGAATTGTATAAGTATACATAAAATGTTTACAAAAAGCGTTCACGTACGCGGAACAAGGTGACTATACACAATTTACGTAACCAATTACAGTCATTATGGACATCAAGTCATCAACTACTGAATAAGCCACAATATTTACATTCACTTTACGACCACATGTGTTGTAGTATGTGAATAGGTGGGGAAATTAATGAAGATAATTAACTCAAACGCAGTTAAGTRAACACAACATCGGTAAGTTCAAAGTTAATATAGTTATAGCAATAATGAATAATAATACATTTTTTTTCCAGTTTTTAACCGACGAAGCCGCTGGAATTGCTTTCGTATTGTTTCCACGGCGCAAATAATAATACATTTAACTCGTCAAGTTTAAACTTAACTTAGAAAAAATATTCAATTAAAAAATGTTTATCTATTTTTTAAATTAGTATAAAGATGACATAAAGAGTATTTTATATTTAATATTATGTTTGTCAGAAACCATAAGATTGTAACCTCAATTATTTTAATGCTAATTAATGTATAAAACTACTATTAAAATCAAAAATATTGAAACCATTTTTATTATTAACCTGATAAATTGTATTTAAATAAACTGAAAAAAGTTAAGTGATTTTAACAGCAAATTAAACTAGTTGTATTAAAGTTAAATAATTTTTTACTGCTTAATTAGTTAATGCCTACATCTTTGATAATACTTATATATGCATATAAACATGTGCATTCTTTGTTATATTCACGCGTATGTTTTAAGTGCCTTACCGAGCATCATAGTTTTATAAATCGGTTATTCTTATAATCAAAAATTTTTTATCATATGATAAATCATTGTATTAACATATTCACCTGAATCAATTTAGTTTAAAACATAGTATAAYATTATTTTAAATTTCATCATACCGGTGCTTTTCCCAGCATCTTGCGCCCACGTGGCCAACGACGTAAGTCCTATCCTCTGAGAATTGGAATTGCCACAATGAGTTGTATCGTTAATGTGGTAATTCGCGTCCAGGCCAATAGTTCTCTGATTGACCTTTACACCTGTGAACATTGCAGTTGCTGAACTTGCTGCATCCGGCACTTGTTTGTTGACCGAATACGTCTGAAACGAAAACAGYGATGCTGCACTTATATAACCCAACACAATATATAATATCGTAAAACATATTATTTTTCTATATAAGTCTGATATAATACACTTTTGACGAATATTGTCATACAATTTTTTTTAGAGCTGCA